CCCAGGCTACTTTGGGCTCGCCTTCCCATCAACCGGAGGCGAGGAGTGGTGGTTGTGGTTACTTATGCCCCCACCGAAGACGAACATCCGTGGAGGGATGCAGGCAAGGCCGATGAGTCAGATGCCTTCTATGACCTCCTGTCACAGGTGCTAGCTAAAGTGGCCCCTCGGGATAGAGTCATCTTGTTGGGTGACTTCAATGCCCGAGTTGGTCATGATGCTGGCACCTGGTCTGGAGTGATTGGAGGGCATGGGCCAGATCAGCTCAATAACAACGGTAGGAGGCTGCTAGATTTTTGTGCAGCCCATGGGCTTGTAATTACCAACACGCTGTTCCGGCATCGGCGCATCCACACAACATCATGGATGCATGCCGGGTCCAAGCAAGGACATCTGCTGGACTACATAGTGACGGACCAGCAGATGCGAGCCCATGTCCTTGACACCAGGACCTACCGTGGAGCTGATCTGCCCTCTGACCATCGACTAGTCATCTGTAAGATGCGCCTGCCATTCTTCCACTGCGGTGGTGGGTGTACACCCAGGACCCCATTCCAACCTAAGGTGGCCCGGTCTCAGCTTGCTGATGAAAGTTGCAAGCGAGAATTTCATCATCGCTTGCGGCTGGGGTTGGCATCATCCCCCACTACTCCAGATGTCGAGGGTAAATGGGCGAGGTTTAGGACTGTGACTCATGCAGCTGCAATGGCTGCTTTGGGTACGCGGTCCAGACCTCCCCAGAGACCCTGGCTGACAGAGGAGGTGTTCAGGATAGTTGAGAAAAAGCGACAGGCCCACTGTCATTGGCTACAGAATCCCACGTCAGAGAATGAGGAGGCTTACCTCAGCCTTCGCTCGGAGGCTCGGAGAGCCGTGAGGCGCTGCAAGGATGGGTGGTGGTCGCGGGTTGCTGAGGAGATGGAGTCTGCCTCAGTGGCCCGCGATCACAAATCTCTATTTAACTCCACCAAAAAAGTTACCTGCAGCGCCACACCTCTTACCATCATTAGGGGAAAAAACGGTCATCCAATCTCCGACCCCCAGGAACAGATTTGCTGAGCATTTCTGTGAGGTCCTGGGGGAGTGGAAATCCCTCGACATGGAAAACATCGTGGGACAAAGTGGGGATGACCCTGCTGAGGCTGCAGTGCCTCAAATATTGGAAGAAGTCACCCCCTGTGAGTGGCTGGCTGAGGTACCATCTGTTGAGGAAGTACTGAAGGCGATCCGGAGTTTGAGACCAGGAAAGGCAGCGGGCAGAGATGATCTCCCAAGCGAAATGCTGAGGGAGAGTGGCGTTTGTGCACAGACTGCCCTATATGATATCATAACGACAGTCTGGACCACTGGACGGGTTCCGCAGGATTGGAAGGATGCCCTGGTGGTCCCCCTCTTTAAGAAGGGGGACCGCACAGACTGTAACAACTACAGGGGCATCTCACTCCTCAGTGTGCCGGGAAAGATCCTGGCAAGGATTATTCAACATCGCCTTGCCAGGCACGCTGAGGAGAGGCTTGCGGAGCCCCAATGCGGTTTCAGGAAAGGGCGGTCCTGCACGGATGCCATATTTTCTGTCCGTCTGCTACAGCAGAGGTGTAGGGAATTCCAGCAAGACCTACATCTCTGCTTTATTGACCTGGTCAAGGCCTATGATACCATCAGTAGGCCTGGGCTCTGGGTTGCTCTTCGTGCTTTTTGAGTACCTGACCCTCTGTTCACGATCATTAAGGACCTTCATGATGGTGAGCGGGCCTGGGTAAAACTACGTGGCCGGGAGTCAGAGCCATTCCCTGTACACCTTGGGGTGCGACAGGGATGTCCTCTGGCTCCCACATTATTTAACATCTATTTTGACCACGTAGTTCGTGAAGCCTTCAATAGCTGTACCGGGGGAATCTCCATATGGTACAGATATAATGGGAGGCTGATCGATGCCCGGGTGCGGTCAAGGGATTGCTCCCTATTGCTCAACCACGTTATGTATGCCGATGATTTGGTAATAGCTGCTCATTCAGATGAGGAGTTGGAGACGCTGCTGCTGAGACTGGAGCGTGCCACTTAGAGATGGGGCCTTACCATCAGCCCCACCAAAACTAAGCACCTGCCTGGGTATTTTGTACCATCGGACACTCCACCCCCACAACTCCCAATCGGTAATGGGGTAGTTTTGGAGAGAGTGGAGAGTTTCCCATACCTGGGCAGTGTGCTTATGACCGGCTCCAGTTTAACAGCAGAGGTCTCACTCCGAATCAGTCGAGCGGCAATATCTTTTCATCGGTTGCGTGACGCTGTGTGGAAGCTACCTTGTCTGTCGCTCCGCACTAAGCTTCAGGTCTTCTCGGCCATGGTCATTCCCTCCCTTCTCTACGCTTGCGAAACGTGGACCCCCCTAATGGACCATCTTCGCCGTTAGAAACATTTAGGCTAGCCTGCCTACGATCCATCTTGGGTTTAACCAGGCTGGATTGTGTGAGGATCTCACAAATCCTTGAAAAATCTG